TATGTTCTAAGCTGTTGATGCCCTTCACACATGAAAAATTAAACATTAAAATTGATCTATAAAAAGAAGTTATAGCAAATGTATTTGTGATAACTATAAGATATTAAAAAAATTAATGCTGTATTTCTGTTCTGCATCTCCAGTGTACACTGCAGCGACCATCACATTCTTACTGAGCTCCCAGCGCTTGATAAAAGTGTACTTGGTAGTTGCAAGCATAGTAGTGATTCTCACTGGCTACCAAGGCAACATGGCAGTTGTGCGGCACTTAACCACTTCGCCACAGTCCACCAAGCCACCAGTCTTGATGAGTGCACTGTCCCTAAACACCACAGCCCTTTGGGACAGTGGGGGCACGCTCTCTGCTCTGACAGTCAATTACATTTTACAGAGTTCCCTGGGCTACTTGTTTACTGCCCTCTGCTCGGGCCCCCAACATCCCTTCCTGCACAAGCTCATTATTGTGTCATTTCTCTTGCCCACACTGTCAATGCTTCTCTCCCTCCCTAGTCAAGTCCTGTCCACAGTTCCAGTGGTGGCAGCCCTCCTCCCTCTGGCAGTGGTTAAGTACACTGTTGCCACAAACCTCCTCAAGTGCTTCCAAGTGGTTGTAGAGGGGTATCAATATGCCCGAAGGGTCATGAGGGACTTTGGCCTCCACTCACTCCTCGAGTCAGAGTGGGTCAGGCTAAATGTCCCTAATGTACTAAGGACCTTTTGGATGATTCGCGTGGCTCACCACTTGGTCACGCTCTTGGGAGAGTTCATGTATGTTCATGGGGAATACCAGTCTCTCTGGGCCTTGGATATGCCGGCTGTTTATGTTATCTTTAAAGCAGTTATGACACAGGGCTGTGAAACTGCTGTGGCTCTGCTGGGTATGACTAGCATAGTGTCATATGTGAGCCATTATGTTGGTGTCGTGTTCCAGATGATTCTTCTGACTGTGGAAGATGATGAAAGGAGCATGGGCACTGTGTGTGCTATCTTATTCTTTATTCTGGCTGAACAGAGTGGCTTGACAGTAATGGAAGGTGAGAAGAGATTCATTCGCCTCTGTAGAAACTTTTGTCTGCTCTTCACAGCCATGTTGCACTTCATTCACAACATGGTCAACCCAGTGCTGATGTCCCTCAGTGCTTCCCGCAACCCTGCCTTGTACCGCCATGTTCGTGCCCTTGTCGTATGCTCCATGCTGATTTTCTTCCCTGTGGTTCTACTGTTCGTCCTGTGGTCATTCTACCCTCTCTCTACGTGGCTGCTGGCTGTCTCTGCCTTCTCCATTCAGGTTATTGTGAAGACTCTGGTCTCGCTGCTCATTTATGCCTTGTTCCTTGTAGATGCCTACCGTAGTACTTTCTGGGAGAAGCTAGATGATTATGTTTACTACATCCGGGCTTTTGGTAACAGTGTAGAATTTGTATTTGGAATCCTCCTGTTCTTCAATGGTGCTTGGATATATGTGTTTGAGTCTGGAGGTTCAATTCGTGCCTTCATGATGTGCATCCATGCATACTTCAACATATGGTGCGAAGCAAGAAATGGCTGGACTGTTTTCATGAAGCGTCGCACAGCTGTCAACAAGATCAACTCTCTACCAGAGGCTACGCAGGAGCAGCTAGAGAATCATGATGATGTGTGTGCAATATGCTTCCAGGGGTTGCACAGTGCTAAGATAACCAAGTGCAATCACTACTTCCATAGTGTTTGTTTGCGGAAATGGTTGTATGTGCAGGATTCCTGTCCTTTGTGTCACGAGACGTTGTATAGAACCGAAGAGAAAGATGGCTTGAGAGGGGAAGGGGAAGGAGAGGGGAACCAAGGGGGAAATGAGGAGACAGAAAGGGCCCAAGAGCAGGATATCCATGGGCACCAGCGTGATGAAAATGTCGACGCTGAGGAACTACCTGTATGGGGTGAGCGTGAGATTGATGTTATATTGGGGGAAAATATGAATGGTGGAAACAGGGAGGTTGTGATAGATAATGAGGTGGGAGAGGCTGTTATCTCCCTTCCTGTGGCAAGGCCCTGCCAGAACCAGCAGGAAGGGGAAAACAACCAGAATCTGCAAAACCCGGTGGAAGATCATGAAGGTGTTCAGGAGGAGGAGGGCATAGGGAGGGTTAATAATCCCAATGAAAATAACCAAATATTTGTGATTAGATCACGTAGAAGTCCAGTGGTTGATCAGGACATAGGACAACAGTGACAAATAGTAGTGTGATTTAGAGGTAGCATTGTTCAAATGTGGTTGTAATATGTACCATGTACTGTAATAAGTGTACTCTTCTCTATGAGGAGAGAGAAATAGTGTGTTGCACATTATACTGCATGCATGGAACTTTATAATGAAGCATGCATTTGTGAAATAGCATGAAACTAAAGCAACTTATGTGAAGCAATAGTCATTAATTTACTCTCTGTGTACTATCTGAAAATACTGTGGCAAGGGTTGCAAATGTTGCTTGATTTGCTTAGGAATGTATATGCCTGATAGAAA